CCCTCAAAACCCCCCTCCATAATCTCTAAATACACCAACTCCCTCAAATAGCCCCATCCATAATCTCTAAATACACCAACTCCCTCAAAACCCCCCTCCATAATCTCTAAATACACCAACTCTCTCAAACCCCCCTCCATAATCTCTAAATACACCAACTCCCTCAAATAGCCTCATCCATGATCTCTAAATACCCCAACTCCCTCAATACCCCCTCCATAACCTCTAAATACCCCCCTCCATAATCTCTAAATACCCAACTCCCTCAAATACTCCCTCTCCATAATCTCTAAATACCCAATTTCCTCAAATACCCCATGATCTCTAATTACCCCAACTCCCTCAAGTACCCCAAATATTGCGATATGAATTAACTCCTACTCATAACCTCCAAATAGCCCCAATTCCCTCATACCCTAAGTACCCTCTAAATAATCCCAACGCTCTCATACTCTCAAATATAACCTCCCCATCCTCCCACATACTTGCAAATGCCCCTTGCCCATATCCCCAAGTACCAAAATACACTGAACCCCTAATGCTGAAATTATGCCACAAGCACCAGAATATCTCCTGATCCTGTCATACTGAAATACCCCCAACACTAAAATATCTCATGCTCCCAAATCGCTCAAATACTGAAATATCCTCAATTCCCAGTATACATCAAACATCTTCCTCTCCTCTTCCTTAAGTATCCCGAATTCTGTGTAATCACTGCATTTCATGGCTGCATTTGAGACTTTCTCCATCTTTTGGAATTATCTTGCCTGATATCCAAGCAGCAGATTTTGTATTGTTTTGATGGGTTTTTTCTGGAATTTGCTACACAGCGGAAGAGATGACAAAAAGTTGACTGAAACAGTATGAGAATTCAGATCAGGAATGGTCTATATGTCCCGTTGAACAGTTCCATTATTTGTGGGAATAGAAAATCGTCACAACACAGAAAGAGATAACAAGGTGTAGAGCTGGATGAACACAGCAGGCCAAGCAGCATCAGAGGAGCAGGAAAGCTGACGTTTTGGGTCTGGACAGAAGGAGGTCATTTAGTCCATGTGTTGTATCAGCTCTCTGAAGGTGAAGTTTGCCTAATGTCGCTCCTCTGCCTTTATCCTCTGCTGTCTGTTTTCAAATAGCGATCTAATTTATTAGTGAGTGTCATGATTGATCTTACCTGCACTACACTCTTGGGCTGTGTGTTCTAGATCCCAACTGTCTGAGGGTTGTGAATCTTTGGAACTCCTTGCTACATTTAAGGCTGAGATAGATACATTCTTAATCAGGTCAGAGAATTAAGTCTTATGCGGAAAATGCAGGAATGTGGATGTGAGGAATATCGGATCAGCCACAATCTTACTGAATGGCGGAACAGGCTTGAGGGACCAAACAGCCACTCCTTTTCCTAGTTTTAATGATGTGGAGGTGCCAGTGTTGGACTGGGGTAGACGAAGTCACTAATCACACCAGGTTATAGTCCAACAGGTTCATCACAAGCATTCAGAGCACTGCTGCTTTGTCATGTAAAGTAGAGGGAAGCACACAGGCACAGAACTTTGCGCTTCTATCTACTTCACCTGACGAACAGACTGTGCTCCAAAAGCTTGTCATTTCAAATAAACCTGTTGGACTATAATCTGGTGTCATGTGACTTCTGACTTTTTTATGGTCTTACCACTTGCTGCATGAAAATGCTCTTCCAAATGTTGCCTTCAGTTCTTTTGATAATCAGCTTAAATCTGTGCTTTCTGGTTCTTGATCTTTCCACTAATGAAGTTTCTCCTTGTCTACTCTATTCAAACCTTCATGATTTTGAACATCTCTATCAAATCCCCTTTCAACTTTTCTTCTCCATGGAAAACAGTCCTAACTTCTCCAATCTATCCATTGACTGAAGCTCCCATCCCTGAATGATTCTCATTAATCTTTCCTGCCTATCTCTAATGCCTTTATATCCTTAAGTGTAGCACGAGTTGGACACGATACTCTAGTTGAGGCCGAACCAATGTCTTACACAAGTTTGTTATAACTGCCTTGCTTTCACATCCTATGCTCTTATTGATTAAACCCAGGATGCTTACACTTTATTAATTACTTTCTCGAAATTTCCTGTCATCTTCAATGGTTTATGCACATCCTGCTCCTCCACTCCTGCATTTCCTTTCAAAATCACAGAAGCCTTATGATGCAGAAGGAAGCTATTTGGTCCATTGTGCCTCCACTGACTCCTTCAATGAGCATAAATTAAAACCGAAAGAACTGTGGATGCTGTAAATCAGAAACAAAAACAGAAGTTGCTGGAGAAACTCAGCAGGTCTGGCAGCATCTGTGAAGAAAAAATCAGAGTTAACATTTCGGGTCCAGTGACCCTTCCTCAGAACTCTATTTTTTTCTTCACAGATGCTGCCAGACCTGCTGAGCTTTTCCAGTAACTTCTGTTTTTTTCCCTTATTTACAGCATCTGCAGTTCTTTCAGTTTT